ATCTTCCAACAAACAGAAGTCCAGGACCAGATGGCTTCACAGGTGAATTGTCAAATATTTAGAGAAGAGCTAACAGCCATCCTCCTCAAACTCTTCCAAAAAACTGCAGAGGAAGGAACACCCCGAAACTCATTCTAAGAGGCCACCATCACCCTGATTCCAAAACCAAAGATACTACAAAGATAGAAAATTACAGACCACTATCACTGATGAATATAGATGCAAAAATCCTCAACAAAATGCTAGCAAACAGAATCCAACAACACACTGAAGGGATCATGCTCCGTGATCAAGTGGGATTTATCCCAGGGATGCAAGGATTCTTCAATATACGCAAGTCAATCAATGTGATACACCATATTAACAAACTGAAGGAGAAAAACCATATGATCATCTCAATAGATGCAGAAAAAGCTTTTTACAAAATTCAACATCCATTTATGATAAAAACTCTCCAGAAAGTGGGCACAGAGGGAACGTACCTCAACATAATAAAGGCCATATACAACAAACCCACAGCAAACATCATTCTCAATGGTGAAAAACTGAAAGAGTTTCCTCTAAGATCAGGAACAAGACAAGGATGTCCACTCTCGCCACTCTTATTCAACATAGTTTTGGAAGTCCTAGCCACGGCAATCAGAGAAGAAAGGGAAATAAAAGGAATAAAAATTGGAAAAGAAGAAGTGAAACTGTCATTGTTTGCAGATGACATGATAGTATACATAGGGAATCCTAAAGATGCTACCAGAAAACTTCTAGAGCTAATCAATGAATATGGTAAAGTTACAGGATACAAAATTAATGCACAGAAATCTCTGGCATTCCTATACACTAATGATGAAAACCCTGAAAGAGAAATTAAGGAAACACTCCCATTTACCACTGCAACAAAAAGAATAAAATACCTAGGAATAAACCTACCTAGGGAGACAAAAGACCTGTATGCAGAAACCTGTAAGACACTGATGAAAGAAATTTAAGATGATACAAACAGATGGAGAGATATACCATGTTCTTGGATTGGAAGAATCAATATTGTGAAAATGACTCTACTACCCAAAGCAACCTACAGATTCAATGCAATCCCTACCAAATTACCAATGGCATTTTTTACGGAACTAGAACAAATAATTTTAAAATTTGTATGGAAACACAAAAAGCCCCGAATAGCCAAAGCAGTTGAGGGAAAAAAATGGAGCTGGAGGAATCAGACTCCCTGACTTCAGACTGTAGTACAAAGCTACAGTAATCAAGACAATATGGTACTGGCACAAAAACAGAAACATAGATCAATGGAACAAGATAGAAATCCCAGAGATAAACCCACGCACCTATGGTCAACTAATCTATGACAACAGAGGCAAAGATATACAATGGAGAAAAGACAGTCTCTTCAATGAGTGGTGCTGGGAAAACTGGACAGCTACGTGTAAAAGAATGAAATTAGAACATTCCCTAACACCATACACAAAAATAAACTCAAAATGGATTAGAGACTTAATGTAAGACCGGACACTATAAAACTCCTAGAGGAAAACATAGGAAGAACACTCTGACATAAATCACAGCAAGATCTTTTTTGATCCTCCTCCTAGAATAATGGAAATAAAAACAAAAATAAACAAATGGGACCGAGTGAAACTTAAAAGCTTTTGCACAGCAAAGGAAACCATAAACAAGACGAAAAGACAACCCTCAGAATATGAGAAAATATTTGCAAACGAATCAACGGACAAAGGATTAATCTCCAAAATTTATAAGCAGCTCATGCAGCTCAATATTAAAGAAACAAACAACCCACTCAAAAAATGGGCAGAAGACCTAAACAGACATTTCTCCAAAGAAGATGTACAGATGGCCAAGAAGCACATGAAAAGCTGCTCAACATCACTAATTATTAGAGAAATGCAAATGAAAACTACAATGAGGTATCACCTCACAGCAGTCAAAATAGGTATCATCAGAAAATCTACAAACAACAAATGCTGGAGAGGGTGTGGAGAATAGGGAACCCTCTTGCACTGTTGGTGGGAATGTAAATTGATACAGCCACTACAGAGAACAGTATGGAGGTTCCTTAAAAAGCTAAAAATAGAATTACCATATGACCCAGCAATCCCACTACTGGGTATATACCCTGAGAAAACCATAATTCAAAAAGACACATGCACCCCAATGTTCATTGCAGCACTATTTACAATAGCCAGGTCATGGAAGCAACCTAAATGCCCATCGACAGACGAATGGATAAAGAAGATGTGGTACATATACACAATGGAATATTACTGAGCCATAAAAAGGAATGAAATTGAGTCATTTGTTGAGACGTGGATGGATCTAGAGACTGTCATACAGAGTGAAGTAAGTCAGAGAAAAACAAATATCGTATATTAATGCATGTATGTGGAACCTAGAAAAATGGTACAGATGAGCCGGTTTGCAGGGCAGAAGTTGAGACACAGATGTAGAGAACAAACATATGGACACCAAGGGGGGAAAACCGCGGGGGGTTGGAAATGGTGGTGTGCTGAATTGGGCGATTGGGATTGACATGTATACACTGATGTGTATAAAATTGATGACTAATAAGAACCTGCTGTATAAAAAAACAAAACAAAAAACTAATACTAAGGTTTGTTTGGGTTATTTGTATGGAAATATGTTAATATAAATGTTTCAGACATTACAAGAAATTTCTAAAAATCTTATATGTTCTGGTATAATGTTTTAAGTCATAATTCTAGTTATTACTTTAAAATGTACATCTCAGAAATAACTAAATTTCCTTGTCAATTGCATTATTATGAACTTTCATCAAATCTTTAACCGTGGTCATTTTTAAGTCTTTTGTCATTTACAGACATTTCTGGGTGTACTCTGATGCTTTTTCAAAAATGTTCCTTTAAAAGAATTTCATCTTCAAGGAATTCATGGAAAAGACTCTGACAAGTACAGGTTTCTGGTAACTGACTATACTTCTGAACTGAATGAATAAGCATTTTCAGAACTCTAATGGAAAACTGATGAATTCATAAAAGTGCTAACAAAAGATCAATATGAAAAAAATTAATTACATGGGACTGAGTGAACTGATGAGGATGATTATAATTTTTGTGACTTTGTGTTTGAATAAAAAAGAAAAAATGTTAATAAAAAAAGGTAAATGATCTGTAATGTGCTTGGAAGCATCAAAAAGACGAATTAATGGATAGATCAGATGAATAAATGGAAAGAGACGTCATAAAAAAAAAAGAACAATGCATGTATGAAAACGGGATCCCAACATCATCAATTAAATTGTTCCATCATATCTAAGAATGCATGCTACTGTCTATGTAAATTTTTTGTAGGCAATATCCTTTTATCAAAGCTGAGAACAATTGAATCTTCTTGATGACTTAAGGAAATAACAAAAGTAGGCATTTTCTTCTCGGGTTTGATAATTTAGCCAGTTTTCTCGCCAGTATCTGTAAATGTGTGGTCGACACATTAACAATTGCTGTCCTGATTATATTGTCTGATTATACTGTCTAATTAATGTTGAATCTAAAATTTTTACTTACAGAGCTTCATATAGTACTAAAACGTCTACCTCAAGCCCAAGTCACAGCTTCTGGCTTGTCACTTATGACATGTCTTCATGGAAATATTACAATTAACCCCTCAGTGTGCTGGAAAAACTGGACAGATACATGTAAAAGAATGAAATTAGAACATTCTCTAACACCATATATAAAAATAAACTCAAAATGGATTAAAGAACTAAATATAAGACCAGATACTATAAAACTTTTGGAAGAAAACATAGGCAGAACACTCTGACGTAAATCTGACGCAATATCTTTTTCAATCCACCTCCTACATTAATGAAGATAAAAACAAACTGACACAGCAGTGTAAAGCAACTATACTCCAATAAAAAAAAAAAGAAAAACAAAAATAAACAAATGGGACCGAATAAACTTAAAGGTGGGACTTCCCTGGTGGCACAGTTGTTAGGGATCTGCCTGCCAATGCAGAGGACACGGGTTCAAGCCCTGGTCCGAGAAGATTCCACATGCCACGGAGCAACTAACTACTGAACCTGAGCTCTAGAGCCTGTGAGCCACAACTACTGAAGCCCGCGTGCCTAGAGCCCATGCTCCACAACAAGAGAAGCCACCACAATGAGAAGCCCACGCACTGCAATGAAGAGAAGGCCCCACTTGCAGCAATTAGAGAAAGCCCTCATGCAGCAACGAAGACCCGACGCGGCCCTAAATAAATAGATAAATTTATTTTTTAAAAAAAAAACAGGTTTAAAATGAAAAAATAAATGAAAAGGGCATTCTAAGCTTCTGCAACAACTTATACCAATCCTTCTGCCCCTGTTCAAGTCTTCTGCCTCAAGTCTCGAGGATTAGCAACTTTCAACTGAGTGAATAAACTAAAATCACTTCATATATACTTCACATCACTACCATCCGGTTTTCTCAACTTGAGATCCAGATATAACTGCACATATCAAGTAGTTTGTAACAAGATAGCTGAGACATTAGAAAGGATCATTTACTGTGTAACAAAATTACATGTTTCCTTTCATTGCTATTTCAAAAGTTCCTTGAAGGCCAAGTTTGGCCCTCTGAGGAGAAATAAGAAAACTTCTTTTCATTCTTTTTCAGTCTAAGAAAAGGAAAATTGGTAGATTCACATTTTAAGGATTTTTATAGAAAAAAATAGGTCCTTTAATACTTAAAAAATTTTTGTCATGGAAGACATGTATATGTACATGGTTCACATTCATTCAACAAACATTATCAATTAAATGCCAGACTCTACACACATACTTCACTGACACTGAATGGCGTTGACTATCCTCTATAGTTATTTGTAAAATGATGTAAACATAAGATACAGACAGGCATGAACAGTAACATGATACACAACCACAGGTCTGGATGGAAGCGAAGTCTTGTTGGTGTGAGTGGCCCACTCTATAACCTGGAGATGCACTTTACCTGTCGAGACACTGAGCTGCCAGACAGGCAGTTGTCAGAATCTCCTTGATGTGAGTCAGCCAGTTGGATGCCTCCAATCTACTGAGCCATCGGTCCATGTTATGTGTTTGGTCATTACAAGCTTCCACGAGTTTGATTAAGCTCTCCTGAAGAATGTGATACCTTTCAAAAACAAGAAAAAGTTAAAAAGAAGAAAGAAAGAAAACAGAACATAGAACAATGAAGGAAGAAACCAAATCAAAAACTCAGCCTCCAATATATATCCAAGGGCAAAAGCAGCTCCAAATACTATAAAAATATTTACCTTGCTATATAATAACTTATAGGGTTAAAGACTGAAAAACTAATATTTAAACATGAGTGTGAAATGCTTAAAATGCCTGCGATGGTAAACTCTTCCTCAACTGAACAGATTAAACCCAGTTTGCATAACTGAATTATCTGACTGAGAAGAGGGCCACAGCACTGCTTTTTGTGACAGGTCACAAAACAGCATCACTAACATCTGTGTCCCGTTCCCACAGAATCAACTCTGGACACCTGTACTGTCACAGCAGGGATGCCCAAGGCCAGCTCAGATCCCATTGTTTTATTAACTCTTAACTCCTACCCACTCACCCACCCAGAAGCAATTATAAACCACTAATTGCAAGCATAAAGGAGATGATATAGGTAGAGGAAACAAGGTGTGAAAATAAGTGTGTATCAGGGAAATTAAATGTCTAAGTCTTTTTGACTTAGGAAAATATAATTATGTGTAGCATATCTTTTCAGTAAGTTTGGTGACTGCTGATCTACAAGTAGAGGAGCAGACCTCATGGTGATGAAATTTCAGAGCTAACGGAGAAAAAATGCTATCTGATCAAAACTCACTTCTGAGCATCCACCATAAGTTTTCTGCTTATCTTATAAAACACAAGGACAGGGCTTCCCTGGTGGCGCAGTGGTTGAGAGTCTGCCTGCCGATGCAGGGGACACGGCTTCGTGCCCCGGTCCAGGAAGATCCCACATGCCGCAGAGCGGCTGGGCCCGTGAGCCATGGCTGCTGAGCCTGTGCGTCCGGAGCCTGTGCTCCGCAGCGGAAGAGGCCACAACAGTGAGAGGACCGCGTATCGCAAAAAAAACAAAAAACACAAGGACAGGATATCCAGCCAATTTTTGACTCAAGTTAATATGAAGGTTCATTTGAAAACTTGTGATTTTTGAACAGCTAAGGGCTCACCCACTCTAAATATCTTCAAATAAGAGTCCAGTACTGTCTCCCAAATCTTTTACCTCTCAATGGACTTATGAATCCGCCTCCACTGGGGATAATGAGCTTCTTGTTCAAAGCCGCCTCCTTTGGCTCTAGCTTGCTGAGCTACGTTTAGAGGTCGGGTGTCAATGATGTAGCCACGCTTTCCTGCCCTGAGGGTAGCATTTATCAGCTTCTCATCTTCTTTGCACCGTCTCCCATTTGTGCCAGTGAGTGGCTGACCACTTCGCATAATAACCTACAAGGACAATAGAGTCTAAAATTTAACAGTAGCTGCTTTTTAAAGTTTCTGAAAGCAGAAATGAATTAGCTACATTAAGAGTATCTCAAAAAACAATTCTATAAAGAGTAATGTACCACAGTGTTCATTGCAGCTCTATTTACAATAGCCAGGACATGGAAGCAACCTAAGTGTCCACTGACAGATGAATGGATAAAGAAGATGTGGCACACATATACAATGCAATATTACTCAGCCATAAAAAGAAATGAAATTGAGTTATCTGTAGTGAGGTGGATGCACCTAGAGTCTGTCATACAGAGTGAAGTAAGTCAGAAAGAGAGAAATAAATACCGTATACTAACACATATATATGGAATCTAAAGAAAATGGTCATGATGAACCTAGGTGGGGGCTTCCCTGGTGGCGCAGTGGTTGAGAATCTGCCTGCTAATGCAGAGGACACGGGTTCAAGCCCTGGTCTGGGAAGATCCCACATGCTGCGGAGCAACTAGGCCCATGAGCCACAACTACTGAGCCTGTGCGTCTGGAGCCTGTGCTCTGCAACAAGAGAGGCTGCGATAGTGAGAGGCCCGTGCACCACGATGAAGAGTGGCCCTCGCTTGCCACAACTAGAGAAAGCCCTCACACAGAAACGAAGACCCAACACAGCCCAAAATAAATAAATAAATTTATAAATAAATAAATAAATAAAGACCCCTGTTCTCTGTTTAAAAAAAAAGAACCTAGGGGCATGAAGGGAATAAAGACGCAGACCTACTAGAGAATGGACTTGAGGATGCAGGGAGGGGGAAGGGTAAGCTGGGACGAAGTGAGAGAGTGGCATGGACATATATACACTACTAAATGTAAAACCAATAGCTAGTGGGAAGCAGCCGCATAGCACAGGGAGATCAGCTCGGTGCTCTGTGACCACCTAGAGGGGTGGGATAAGGAGGGTGGGAGGGAGACGCAAGAGGGAGGGGATACAGGGATATAAGTTATACGTATAGCTGATTCACTTTGTTATACAGCAGAAACTAACACACCATTGTAAAGCAATTATACTCCAATAAAGATGTTTAAAAGAATAAAAAAATTGTGTGTCACTTTGGAGATGAATTTGATCCTAAAACAAAGAAATGTTTCTATGTATTGACAATAGTTAATCATTGTAAAACAAAAACAAGACTTGCACTTTTACATGATTTTTCTTCCTACTATCTCAAAATACTTTCACATAATAAATTATAGTTCCTCTTTAAGATCAAATATTACAATTCATTTAGTCAGTGAATTAATTATCCAGCAGATCTGGGCCTGTAATTTAGATAATGATAACAGCCTACACACCAGGAAACTTTGGCTTCAACTACATAAACTTAGGGTTGGCAGGTTTTATCAAGAATTATAAAGAGAAAAGGCACCGATGGTAAAATAAAAAAAATTTATGTACTATTATTCTTGTTTCGGGAATCACTTTCAATATCTTGAAAACTACTTATTTATTCTTTATTCTCCAGTGGCCTTCTTCCAGTATTCCAGGACTTAACCACTTGACTCCAAAGACCAAAAACTACATACTTCGAAGTCTGCTTTTGAAACTTTTCTCAAGAAATCAATATCTGTTATACTGATCTATTCCCTGGCGAATGGTTTAGAATTATTTCAAGCTCGTCCCATAATACAGGGGTCCCCAACCCCCAGGCCGCAGACCGGTACCAGCCCACAGCCTGTTAGGAACCAGGCCTCAGAGTAGGAGGTGAGTGGTAGGTGGGCGAGCGAAGCTTCATCTGCTGCTACCCATCACCTGCATTACCGCCTGAGCCACCCCCCACCCTTTCAGTGGAAAAACTGTCTTCCATGAAGAGTCCCTGGTGCCAAAAAGGTTGGGGACCAGTGCCATAATACATACTGTTATCTTAACTACCCTGAAATTTAACATAAGGAAGGTCATCCAGAGGATGACAATGGCTAACTCTCAGACTGCACTTACCATGTAACTGGACGCAATAATATATTTTATGAGTTGTTAAAATGCTTTATGGTGAACCCTAGTGAAGAGAAATACTGCTGAGCAGGCAAGATAGGTGACCTGATTTCTAGAAATCCCTTTATCCTAAATATCTACACTTGACTTACTACCAGGGGAAAAAGGAAAATGGAAGATAGCTATAACTTACCCACTCATTTACTATTGGATTCAAAATGAGAAGCAGAGTTTACTGACAAAGAGAAAATAAGAAGAGAGAAATAAACTTCGAAAATATTTAGGAAACGAACACACAGTGAGCACTTGCCTATTCAATTCCTGACTCCTGTGTTTACTTAAGTTGTGACTAATGACATGTGTCACTCTTTTCCCTTCTGAAAATAAAAACGTCTGTTCAATTTACATTTCACAGGAAAATCTGGTGAGAATAATTAAAATAAAGTATCATACCATTATTCCGGTCAGAGAAATTTATTTTTCTACCTAAGAGTGTTCATTTTAAGTATAAACTAAACATTAGCTCCCTTTGTACTGAGTCCTAAAGATACACTTCTTTGGGCTTTTCTAAGGTTAAGCAGCATCATGGAAAGAATTCAAAGTCATGTCCTGATCACAGAAAACACTCTACTCCTGATTCCCTAAAGCTTAAATAACAGAAGTCCCAGCGGGAGAGACTAATCACTTCAATGAACAGGTACACAGAAAAGGGGAACATTTCTAAGAACCTCAAATCAAGTCTTCCAGTCGATTAAGCAGTAGTATTTATTGTTCACTTACCATTCCATTTTTTTTATGATAATAGCTGAGTACTGGGAAGCGTCCTCCATGTCGAAACGTAGCTACCTTCCGAAGAGCTTCATCATCGATGGCTTTGGGTACTATGACAATTGGTGGGTAAGAGGGGCAAACAGCAAATTCCTTATTGACATAGCTTAACCTCCATTCACTGGTCTGAAAAACACAAAATACTTCAAAGCTAAGCAAGTATCTCAATGTCACAAAATAATCTGAAAACTTTTAAAGCTTAGAGATCAATTTTCATACAGTGAAGAAGCCATCTCACAGGAATTTAATAGAAGGATACCTAGCCCATACTTAAATACTTCCACAGAAAAGGAGCTCCACGCTTCAGAGCCAGCTTCCTACAGTGCTAGGTATCCCTAGTTCCTAGAAAGTTCTTCCTCCTATTGAGCAAAACTTATTGCTCTGTAACTTCCTCTATTGTTGTTTACTGTGATTTCAGTACAAGTTCCCCATTTCACATGACATCTTATGGAATATATGAAAGAGTTGTTTCTCCCTTAGTCTTCTATTCTCCAAGTTAAATATATTAAGTATATTTATGAATATCAGGGCCAACATCATCTCATTCCTTCTTGTCTTGGTACCATTTACTTTGTTAATGGTACTCTTAAAGTACAGCAACAGGAAGACTAAAACTCCAGATGATGCTTAACCAGAACAGAACACTGCTAATACTTACATCAAACCCCTCTCATTTCAGTTATTTAAAAAAAGAGAAAAATGAGGAAAGACTGTTAACATCTCTCTTAAAGCAATAACAACTTAATACTAAGAAAGATTATACTTAGAAGTCAATGAAATAATTTCAAACTCAGTATGCTAAGAACCAAAAGTATACAACATAAAACTATCAAATGACAACTTATTTCTAATATCAAAAATGAAAATCACTTAAAGACTGTAAAAAGCTTTGCACTGCAAAAAACAAACAAAATTATGTGTATGTAAATTTCAATATGTTCCTATAAATCAGAGTTGCCCTAACATGCTGGCCATGGCTTGTAGTATCAGGAGGATAAACCAAAGCATGTTTGATAAATGTATTTTTAAAAAAAAATCCTTTTACAAGATACAATATTTTTTAATTAAATTTTTTCACTGTTCAGTTATTCACATTACTAATTTAAAAGACAGTTTCTAAAAAATTATTTTTTAAAAAGGAAGTTACCTGTTTCCTGCTAACACATCATCTAATTCCCTTTCCCCAGAAGCAACCATTTTCAACTCTTTCAGCTGTTTTTTGTTTTTTTTTTTAATTTTTGGCTATTTTTCACAATTAGGTATTACTTACTGATTTCCTACTCCAGAGAATGCTATGATTCTTCATTGACCTGCAATGCCACTTCTGTCAAATATTAACTTTCCACACGTTGGCCTCTCTATTCTGTCCCACTTGTCTAGCTGCAGCAAGTCCATCCATGGCTTTTAGAATAAACTTTGTATTTAGTAGGCTAAGTCTCCTAGAATCCTCTTCCCTCCTTCTTGCTCTTCAAGAGAACCTTGGTTCCCCTTGATCCTTTGCTCTTTCATGTAACTTTTATCAAATTCCACTTAAAAACCCACTGGTGTTTTAATAAGATGCCACTGACTTTATAGATTGATTTGGAGACATCTTTATAATATTTAATATCCTTGTCTATGAGCATAGTGTCCCTCCACTTTTCAAAGCTTTCTTAATTTTTCAATAAAGTTTTAAAATTCTCTCAATAAACATCTTTCATATCTTTTCTTAGATATACTCCTAGGAACATTATATTTTTACGGCATTTTAGTTGTATGTCTTCAAAATTATGTTTGGTGTAGAGAAATGCCTACAATTTCAAGATTCTTTCAGTTTCCTATGTAGAGAAGCATATAATCAACAACTAAGAGCAGGGACTTCCCTGGTGGTCCAATGGTTAAGACTTTGCGCTCCCAATGCAGGGGGGCAGGTTTAACCCCTGATCAGGGAATTAAGATCCCACGTACTGCATGGCCAAAAAAACCCAACTAATAGCAATTTTGCTTCTTTCATTTCAATCCTAATACCTTTTATTTTTCCTTCTTGTCTTCCTGAGTCAGCTATGAGTAGCAATGGTAGGCATCTTTGTCAAATGAAAGATTTGCTTTTTGTATATTTTTGTTTTTGTACCTACCCTGTATCAGATTAAATAAATTCCTTTCAAATCCAACTCTGCTAAGAGCTTTTATCATAAGTAGATGTTTAATTTTATCAAATTGTTTTTTTTCTCTTCTAATTTTGTTTCACCATGTATGTAATTTGTCTTTTCTCTTTGGTTAATTTTGTGATATTCTCTTTGCCTTACTGTTCAACAGCTGAACTCAATACATCTAAGTAAAAATTTCCTTTTGATTATCCTACATGGTGTTTGCTGGGATACCCTTGTGCATCTTTGCAGTCCTTACCTTCCCCTCCACACCCAATACTAGGAAATCACTAATCTGCTTTCGGTCACTTTTAGTGTCTTATCTAAGAAATCTTTGCCTCATCTATGGTCATAAATATTTTCTCCTGTGTTTTCTTCAAGAAATTGTATACCTTTAGCTCTTATGTTTTGGTCTATAATATATTTTGAGTTAATTTTTGTGGATGGAAGTAAAGGTCTAGATCTTTTATCAGTCCAGTTGTTCCAATGCCATTAGTTGAAAAAAACTCTCCTTTACCTATAGAATTGTCTAGGCACCTTTGGCAAAAATTGACCACAAATGGGAGAGTTCATCTCTAGACCCTCTATCTTGTTCCATGGATTTATATATCTATCCTTAAGCCAATATACTACATTCTCTTGATTACTGTAACCTGATAGTAAAATTTCAAATCAAGTAATGTAAATAATTTAGCTATTTTTTTTCAAAGTTGTTTTGGCTATTCTAGTAACTCTGCAGTTCCATATAAATTTCAGGATAATCTTGGCAATTTCTACAAAGACATCTATTGGAATTTTGACAGGAGTTGCACTGAATCAATACATCAATTTGGAGAGAATTAGCATCTTAATGAGAGGTCAGCAAACTACAGTCCACAAGCCAAATCCAGGCTCCTGCTTGTTTTTGTAAATGCAGGCATACCTCAGAGACATTGCAGGTTTGGTTCCAGACCACTGCAATTAAGTGAATATTGCAACAAAGCGAGTCACAAATTTTTTGCTTTCCCAATGCATGTAAGTTATGTTTACACTATACTGTAGTCTATTAAGTGCGCAACATCAATATGTCTTAAAAAAATAAAATGTACATACCTTAATTTTAAAATATTTTGTTGCTAAAAAATGCTAACCATCATCTGAGCCTTTAGCAAGTCATAATCTTTCTGCTGGTGGAGGATTTGAAATATTTTCAGAATTACCAAAATGCAACAGAGACATGAAGTAAGCAAATGCTGTTGGAAAAGTGGCACTGAAAGACTTGCTTGACATAGGATTGCCACAAACCTTCAATTTGTAAAGAACACAATATCTGAAAAGCACAATAAGATGAAAATGCAATAAAATGAGGTATGCCTGTAAGATACTACTGGAACACAGCACCACCCATTCATTGATATATTATCTATTGCTGTTTTCATGCTGTAACAGCAGAGTGGAGCAGCTGCAACAAAGATTTCATGACCCTCAAAGCCTAAAGTATTTACTATTGGGTCCTTTACATAACTCAGCCCATTACTGACTGATCTTAACCATACTGTCTTCCAATCCATGAACATGTGTTTCTCCTTTTATTTAGATGTCCTTTAACTTCTCTCAGCAATGTTTTGTGTTTTCTTTTGTGTTTTGTATAGATCCTGCCCTTTTGTTAAATGTATTACTAAGTACTTTATTCATTTTAAGATTGCTTATTGCCAGTTAGATTTTGTACACTTGTACCGAGCAACCTTGCTAAACTTATTAGTTCTAGTTATTTTGTTCATTTCTGCTCTTATTTTTATCATTTCATTCTTTCAAGTTACTTTGCTCATTTTTTTCCCAGTTTCTTAAGTTGGAGCTTAAGTCGGTGATTTTAGACCTACCTTCTTGTTTTATATTAGCACTTTAACATTATAAGTTTCTCTCTAAACACTGCTTTAGCCATATTCTACAAATTTTGATATTATCATTCAGTTCAAAATATTTCCTAATTTCCTTTCTGATTTCATCTTTGAGTTACAGATTATTTACAAGCATGTTGTTTAATTTAGAAATACTCTGGGTATTCCTCGATACCTTAGTGTTAACTGATTTCTAATATAATTACTTTGTGATCAGGGATTATATACTGTATGGTTTCAATCCTTTTAGATTTATTGATATTTATTTAATAGCCCAGCGTATATTCTCTCTTAGAAAACATACCATGTGCTCTTGCATGTTGTTTATTGTGCAGAAGTTGGGAAGTAGTATTCAATGAACATCAGAGAGTGTTGTTCAGATTCTGTCTCTACTTGTTTTGTTGTTGTTTTTAGTTTAGTTGTTCTATTACTTGCTGAGAGGGCAGTTTAAACAATCTACAATCATCACAGAATTGCTTATTTCTTCATTTCCATCAATTTTGGCTATCAGGCATAAATATTTATTTTTATATATAAATCATTATGTTGTCCTGATGAATTTTATTATTATGGAATGACCCTCTTTATTTGATAATATTCTGTGTCTTGAAGTTTTTTTTTTAATCTGGAATTAATAAAGCTACTTCTTTTTTATACTTATTATTTTCATGGCACATTTTGCCCACCCATTTATTTTCAATCTGTCTCTTTATATTCAAAATGCATCTCTTGTACACAGCAATATTTGCATCTTGCTTTTTTCTTCTTCTTTTTTTGGCCACACCACGCAGCTTGAGGGATCTCAGTTCCCCAACCAGGGACCAAACCCGAGCCTTCAGCAGTGAAAGCCTTGGAATCCTAACCACTAGGCCACCAGGGAACTCCCTTGCTTTTTTCTTTAATTCATTCTGACAGTCTCTGCCTTTTAATTGGAGCATTTAGCTCACCAATATTAAATATCGATACAGCTGGATTTTAGTCTAGCATTTATTTTCTGTTTGCCCCTTCAGTTTTTATTGCTGTTTCTTCTTTCCCACTTTCTTTTGAATTATTTAAATACTTTTTAGAATTGCACTTTAATGTATTAATCTTTTAATTATACCTCTTAACATTTTTAAGAAGT